AGATAGGGTCAAATGCAGAAAAAACAAGAGGAACTGTAGGATGCAGGTGAGACCTGCGGGGGGGCAGGGGCTGTGAGGACGGTGAGGCGGGGCTGACCCCACGTGGTCGCGGGCCCGACTGTGGCCACCCTGGCATTGCCACCTCACCTTTGTGCATCGTTTCTTCTCAACATGCCTCATCAAATCCAACAGCAAAAAGACTTTGGCCTTATTTGAACATCTTGACCACAAGTATAATTAATGATTTTTCCTTCGCAGACTTGGATTCTTTAGGAGAGAGGAGACTGCTCCAGCATTTCCTTAGACACTGTCGAGGGCGGTGGCTGTAGGCAGGGGTTGTAAACCGTTCTTTCCTAATGTAAGCACTTACAGTTACGCATTTTGCTCTGAACACTGCTTTAGCTGCATCCCATTTTAATATGTTGTGTTTCATTATCATTCAGTTTCTAATTTCCCTTGTGGTTTCTTTTTTGACCCATGTATTATTTGGAAGTATATTGCTTAGTTTCCAAATATTTCGAGTTTTTCAGATTGTTTTTCACTATTGATTTCTAATTTAATTCTAATGTCATCAAAGAACACACCCTATGTGATTTTGATCCTTTGAAATTTATTACTACTTTTTTATGGCCCAGAATATGTGGTCTATATTGGTGAATTCCTATGAGCACTTGAAAAGAGTATGTATTCTGGCCTGTTGAATGTAGTGTTCTGTAAATGTCAGTTAGGATAAGGCGTTTGATAGTGTTGTTAAAATATGTCCTTAATGATTTTCTATTTATTATTTCAATTACTGAGAGAGGTGCATTAAAATTTCCAACGCTTAATTGTGGATTTATCTATTTCTCTGTGAGTTTTTGCTTCCTATAATTTGTCAGTTACGTGCATAGCTGTCCCTCGGCAACTGTGGGGGATTGGTTTCCCCAGGTCCAGCAAGGACCTCTCTTTGACACCAAAATCTAAGAATGCTCAAGTCCCTGATATAGAATGGTGTAGTATTTGCACATAACCTACGCACATCCTCCTGCATGCTTTAAATCATCTCTAGATCACTCATAATACCTAACACAATGTGAATGCTGTGTACATAGTTGTTATGCTGTATTGTTTAGGGAATGACAACCAAAACAAGTCTGTACATGTTGAGTACGGATGCAAATTTTCCTTCCCGAATACTTTCAATCTGCAGTTTATTGAATCCACAAATGTGGAAACACAAATATGGAGGGCCCACTGTATACATGGGTATGGCAGGCCCACTGTATACACTGGTATGGAGGGCCCACTGTATACATGGGTATGGAGGCCCACTGTATACACTGGTATGGAGGGCCCACTGTAAGAATTGTTGTCTTCTTGGTGAAATGACTTTTATTGTTAGGAAATGTTCCTCTGCCTCTCTAGTAATACTGGTTTTCTTGAAGTCTACTTTGTCTGATGTTAATGTAGCTACTCCAGCTTTGTTATGATTAATGTCTACACGGTATATCTTCTATCCCTTTTCTTTTAGACGGTCAGCTGCAATTCTGCTATCCTGTGTTTTTGTTTTCTATTTGTGTCATCCATTCTTCGTTCCTCCTTTCCTGCCATCTTTTGGATTCACCAAGTATTTTTTAGTAATCCATTTTATTTCCTCTATTGACTTTTTAGCTATATCCCTTTGCTTTATTTTGTTAGTGGTTGCTCTGCAGATTACATTTGCGTTCTCTACTTGCCACAGCCTGTTTGTGAGTTAGTGTTACACCTCGTCAGGTATAACGTAAGAACCTAACAGCAGTATGTTTCCGTTTACCTTGCTCCTGTCTTTTGTGCTATCGTTGTCATTCATTTTACTTCTACGTATGTTATAAACCCTACAATATATTATAGTTATTTTTACTTTACATAGTCATATATCTTTTAAAGAAGTCTAGATACATGGTGAAAAAGACTTTGATGTGTATCCACATTCCAACACGCTTCATTCCTTGGTTTAGATCCAAGTTTCCATCTGGTATCATTTTCTTTCAGCCTAAAGAACTTCCTTCAGTATCTCTTGTAGTGAAAGTCTGATGATGACAAATTCTCAGCTTTTGTATGTCTGAAAATGTCACTGTTTCACCTTTTGGTGGATGTTTTTGCTGCATATAGAAATCCATGTTGACAGGTTTTTTTTTTCTTTTAGCACTTTAAAGATGTCATTCCATTGTCTCTGTCTTGCATTTCTCCTGATGAGATCTTAGGTTATTTTCACCATTGTTGCCCTATATATGAAGCATCCCCCCTCCCTCTGGCTGCTTTTACTATTTTCTCTTTAGCTTTCAGAAATTTGACTAAGATGTATCAAAATGTGAATTACTTTGTGTTTATTCTGCTTGGACCTCAGAGACTCTTGGATATGTGGGTTGATACTTTTATTAGATTTTGAAGTTTTTCTATTATTATTTTCCCAAATATTTCTCTCTCTGTCCCTGCCTCCCTCCCTCCTCTCTCTTCTTTCTGGAACTCCACTTACACGTATGTTAGGCTGCTTGACATCTACTCCAGGTTCCTGAGGTTCTGTTCTTTTCTTGCGGTCCTTTCCCATCCCTCAGTTTGGGTAGTTTCTGTTGCCTATTTTCCTGTCTCCAAATTCACTGATTGCAGCCCACCTAGTGATTTTTTCATTTAATATACTGCATTTTCCAATTCTAGGATTCCCATCTGTTTCTTTTTTATAGTTTCCATTCTCCGCTGAGATTTTTCCATCTGTTTACTCCTTTCAATTATCTTTTTTTTAAGGCTTAAAATATATTTATAATCACTATGTTAAATTCCTAATGTGCTAATTCTGACATATGTGTCATCTCCTGGTCTGATTCTATGGCCTATTTTCTCTTCTTGTAGGGGTAACATTTTCTTGCTTTTTTTTACGTGTCAAGGAGTTTTTGATTATATGCTAGACATTGTGTTTATCACAATGTTGAAAGTCTGGATTGTGTGGTACTGCTTTACAAATTTGAGTTTAAATGAATTGCGTTCTAGCAGGCAGTTAATTTATTGAAGGATCAACTCAATCCCTTTGAAGCTTATTTTTAGGCTTTGTTAAGGTGGGACTAGATGTTCTTACTCTGGGGCTAGCCGCACAGGGGTGGGGAACCTGCAGCCTTCTGATTTCAAGATTCTTCTTTTTTAAGCACCAAAGGAGGCAAGAAAAGCTTTATTTTTCTCTGCTGCACCCCTTATAATAAAAGGATTTGTTCTGCAAAACTTGAATTAGGTCAAAAGGCCACACTTCAGGATCTAGAAGGCCACATTTCGCCTTAAGGCTGCAGGCTCTCCGACCCTGTGAGGTGTGGCCTTCCTGGATCTCAGCTGGGTATCTGGGGTGTCCGGCAGGGTCTCTCACGTTGGCTGTCAGAATGCCGGCATCTCTGGCACTGTGTGAATTCCATTCAGTTCACACCTTCCCAACCGCTTCTCTGCCAGGCCTTGAGGAGGCGCACCCTGCACATGGGCTGGTTTGTCCTCACCGAAGACCCAGTGAGTCGCATGGGATTTCTGGAACTCCTCTGCACGGCTCCCTCCTCTCCGTTACCTTGTTCCGCGAACTCTAGCTATCTCAAAGCCCCAAGCTCCGATCTTTGTTTCCTCCACCCAGCGAGACTGCTGCTCCGTTCGGGTTGCACTTCTCTTGTGCCGTGGCTTGGAAACTGCCCGACGGTAGAAATCCAGGGCTCGTTCTGTGTGTTTCCCTCTCTCAGGGATTACAGGCCTGTTCTGTCTGTTGCCCAGTGACTCAAAAGAATTTGCTTTGTACATTTTGTTCCGTTTCATAGCTCTCTGTAAGAGAAGTTAAATGTGCTACCTGTTACTCCTTCATGGTCGGAGCAGAACTGAGTTTGGATCCTGGCTCTGCCCTACTGGCTTGTGACCTAGAACAGGTTACTTACCTCTTCAAGTCTCAGCTTCCTTGCTAAAAAGCAACATGTTGTTGCGAGGACTGAATAAGACCAAGCATACTTAGCATAGCGCTTGGCATACAGAAAAGTCTCAGTTACCATCAGCCTTTATTCTTACATGTCTTTTTGCCAGTGAAGCTGCTAACTACTTTGGATCAAATCACTACTGTCATTTGCATAGTGATTAAGCATATCATTATTGAGGAATAAAGTTTTGGTGATGGCAGTTGTCTTAAACATTCATGTTATCCAGTTAATTTTAGGATGGTTTTTGGTATCTTTAGTATAGGCAGAAAACTCCTGAGCCCTAAAGGTAAGAACACCAGGAGTATGCAATTAACAGCTCATGAAAATACAGCTTAAATCTTCTGGCTTTGGCCAGAGGGCTTTAGAGCCAGGGACACGGTAGCCTGTGTTTGTCGTTCAGCACTCGTTGGCCAACACCGTGTGGCCCTGGCTCAGGGCTGGAGACGCGGTGGGGGCATGAGCGGAAGGCTCCCGCTTGCAGCAGGCACGCTCCCCAAGGCGACAGCGGCAACTGTGGTGTGTTTTAGTTACGAGTCAGTGCGCTTGGCATAGAAATTGATCCTATTCCGTGGGCCCACCGTCCCGTGGAGACGCCTTGCCAATGGGAAGGGCTGTGGAGCAACACACTTCGCTGCCCCCCGCTGTGTCGTGACAGTGTGGACACACTGGTGGCACATCACTCAGGGAGAGCGGTTCCTGCCCGAATGTTGATCCTCGACAGTGACCCAGAGGGCACCAGGTTCTGCTCGGCAATCCCAGGTGTAGCCAGGCCGCACAGGGGCTTCTCTGTGGGCAGCATCCATCCCAGTGTCCGCCCTGCGCCGCCCTGCTCAGTGTGTACCCTGCCAGGGGCGTCCCCCTCCTCTTCTTGGTTTCCCGCTCCCTTTGGATATTCACTGTCACGTGGACAAAGCCACACACAGAGAAACCCTTTTACTTCTCCCAGTGACCTTTGTCCCCCAGCAGGAAGCACGGGGGGGGGGGGTTCTTTTTCCTTCACTCCTCCTCCTATTTAAAATGTAACGGGTGCCCTTCTGTTCCTCTCTCCCTCAGTCTGCTGCGGGCAACTGCTGAAAGAGGCCGTGGCAGGCAAGACACAATTTGGCGAGCTCATCCAGCCCTTTTTTGAAAAGGAGATGGCAGGTAGGTCACACCTCCCACTCACCGCCAGGACCTTACAGGCTCCGGCGAGGCCGTCTGAGCATCTGGGGGCTCAAAATTGGGGAAAACAGCCAAGAAATAGAAATCGGTCTCTCTCATGGACAAAGGCTCTGTTGCTCACTCCTTGGTGCGGCCCCTTGGCATCCATGCCTGATCTCAAGGGAGGTGGTGTGTGGATGTCGTGGGGTCACCACTGTGGCTTAGAATGTTCCTGTTTCTCAGGAACGTTTGCTTGTCATAACTGATAGCCCTTAAATTGAGAGCCAGGAGAGGCCACAGAGCTTCTCACATCCTTTATTATTTGTGATACAAAAATACTGTGGGCAAATATTCCAACATAATCAACAGTCAGAAGCCAGAGGTGCCAGACAGCCTTGCAGGTGTGAGGATTGACTGGCATTGGTCCTCGGGGACTTGGATGCTCACCTGCTCGGTGGGGGAGCAGAACCAGATGATCTTTCTAGACCCTCTCGACAATCTACACTCTGAAAGCATTCCCAGGATCTAGCCCCAGCAGGGGTACTTTCGAGGTCATTTTAGTCCAGCTTCCTGAGTCCAAATGAGCCGTGGGAAGGAACCCAGAGCTTCTAAAGCCACACAGCTAGGTCCTGGTTGGGCTGCTCTAAACCCTGCATTTGCTCCCTGGGGCAGTGGATTTTCCACTCACCCACGTCTTCTTCTCTTACATAAAGTGCTAAGGCTCCTCTCTGCCATCAGTACAAGCTCAGCTCTCAAGGCTGGTTGAACATACGCTTATTGTGAAGAAAATCAACCCCAGAAGAAGCTGCCATTATAATGAGCAATGTGGGTTTTGGCTGGGACACCCTCTCTGCAGAAGCTCATCACCTTCTACCATTTTCTAGAGAGAGCAAGTGGATGAGGAAGCAGCTCAGAACAGGCCGAAAGGGCCCCCGGGGAGGCGTCCTGGCCAGCTCTCCCAAGACCCCCCTTAAGATGTCCTAGTCCCCAGGGTGAAGTTCAAGGGAGGCAAAGTAGGATCCATCAGACACGATGCTCTGTGTAGGGATGGGTGACTCTATTCCCAGGTCACTGCAGTGGTCCATAGAATGAGATGGAAGCAGGAGGCGCTGGGGAGGGTAAAAACCAGTGTGAGCTTTGGTGCCTCCCAGTCTGGGTCAGATTCCAGTGCCACCACCCTGGCCATGTGGCCCCAAGAAACCACCTTTGCTCTTCTTGAAGCCCCCAGCTTCTTGATGGTGGGATGGACATAGGAATCCCTGCGTGCAGGGTTGTCGTGAGGCCAGGCTGTAATGTACAGGTGCAGCGCCTGGGAGGCTCGCTGAAGGCAGCTGCTGTTATTAAGAAGTCACAGTAGCAGCAGCGGCAGAGGGCCTGACGTATCCTCAAGCATAATTTCTCGCAGCCATGCCAAATTCCCACTTATTGGTGTGGCGGTGGTGATTAGCACCCTCAATAATTTATTCGATTATTTGTTGAATAAGGAATGAATGTGATACCAAGTTAACATAGATTTATATAGTTTTAAATTTTGCTGGTAACATTCCATCGTATGACTGGATGATAATTTAATTCCCCACTGACAAGCATCAGAAAGAAAGACAACAACCAGGCAAATGAAGCAGTGTTAATCGTCGGTGAATCTTGGGAAGGGTATGCAGGGATTCTTTGACTCTTCTTGCAGCTTTCCTGTACGTTTGAATTTTATTTCAACATATAAAATTACAAAAAGTAAACATTAGGTGGTTTCCAAATTTGCACTCCTTCAATAATGCTGTAATGCGTACTCTCATTCATACAAACGTCCCTGATTATCTTAGGATCAGTTGTGCACAGAGTCAGTGGAAATGCCCATAGCGACAGTGGCGTGTGATACCGCACTACGGCACGTTCCTGCCGTCGCGTGTGTCGCTTGTTTCCTCCGTGTCTTTGCCATCTCTGGGTGTTGCCAGTGTATTCGTTTTCTATCACTCCGTAACAAACTTAGTGGTTTAGAACAACTCTGTAATCCTAGCACTCTGGGAGGCCGAGGCGGGAGGATCCTTTGAGCTTAGTAGTTCAAGACCAGCCTGAGCAAGAGCGAGACCCCATCTCTACAAAAGATAGAAAAAATTAGCCAGGTGCGGTGGCAAGTGCCTGTAGTCCCAGCTACTCAGAAGGCAGGAGGATCGCTTGAGCCCAGGACTTTGAGGCTGCAGTGACCTATGATGATGCCACGGCACTCTATCCTGGGTGACGGAGTGAGACTCTGTCTCAAAAAAAAAGAATTACATAAGTTTATCTTACAGTTCTAGAGGCCAGAAATTTTAAAATCAAGGTGTTAGCAGAGCTGTTTCCTTCCTGAGGCACTAGGGAAAATTCATTTCCTCGCTGGCTTCTAGAGGCTGCCTGCATTCCTTGGCTCACGGCCTCTTCCTCCATCTTCACAGCCAGCAGAGTAGCATCTTCAGATGTCTCTCTCTGACCTGTGCTTCTATTGTCACATCTCTCTGACTCCGACCCTCCTGACTCCGTCTTAGAAGGACCCTTGGGATTGCACTGGGCCCACCCAGATAACCTGGGATAATCCCCCATCTCAAAATCCTTAACTTCATCACATCTGCACATCCGGTAACATATTCACAGGTACCGGTGATTAGGATGTGGACATCTTTTTTGTGGGGGAGGGAGGCATTATTCTCTCTACCGCAGCCAGTCATTTGAGTCTTTGTTGATTTGTTAGGTGACAAAGACTTATTTCTTTTTAATTGCGGTTTTTTGATTATTGATGAGGTTGGTAAATTGAACATATTTTCATAAGATAATTGGTCATGCATATTTTATCTTTTGTGAACTGCCTTCTTATAGCCTTGGCCTATTAACTTATTTTTCCCTTTGCCCATCTTCCGAGTAAGCTATTTTCTGTCTAATTCATTTGTAAGTGCTCTTTGCATATTAGGGTTGTCTACCTTTTTCCATTAATTTTCCTTTATACCTATATTCTATATTTTATCTCTATATTTCAAGGCACATCATAACCTTGTAGTTTTAGCAATTGTTTGGAAAAAGAACCGTGACTCATCACAGCCCTTTGGTTCTCAGACTCACTGGAATGTCATGGTCACCGAGGAGGTCATGTGGTCACATTAGGATGTTGATTCTTTATGGGGTCATGAAGCCCTTGGCCTTAGAGTTTTCTTCCTCTACCTCCTCACCGTTTGACAGGGCAGGCTTATCTTCCTTTGTCTTGTAGGGACTTGGGCATTTATACATCCTTAATTAACCGTCAGATATGAGCACTATTTTCTTTACTTAATTCAACCTGTATCTTTTGGGTAAATGGGACCTATCGCTAGTTCCTTTTATAGAGACAGAAATGAAGTTGCTTGAATCAAAGAGCATTAACCTTGTACGTAGTCGGCTTATTCATCTGCCACTAACAACAAACCCGAGGAGTGGGTTTCAGGGGTGGTCCAGATGCAGGGCTGTTTGTGTTTTTGCTTTTTGTTTTTTGGTGAATACAAAGCAGATGGACTGCGCATTTCCCAATTTCCTGTAAAGTTAGTAAGACCTCGATAGCTTCGATCTTCAATGTTTCATGCTAGATTTTTTTCTTCCGCAGCTTTTTGTTTGTTTAGACTATGTAGCTCTATACTTTTGCTCTTTCTACAAAATTAAAGACACAACAACAACCAATATCATATCTTCCTAACAGAAGCAATAAATTCTGTCATTTCGCTAATCCTGATCTCGCAGGGATAACAAAGAATGCATTTACATTCATAACCACTAACAGGGTCTCATTAGTGGGCTGCGGAGAAGCTGCCGCGAAAACCAACGTGCTCAGCTCGCAGAGGAGGCGCGCTGGAACCACCCAGGTCTGGCAGGGGCCCACTTCACTGCCAGCTGAAACAGGAAGGAAATGTAAATGATTCTTGACAGAATTTGGTTTCGAAGGGAAGGTCAGACTGAGTAAGGGAAGTCTGCTTCACCAACCACAGCCTTGCTCGTTTCCGAACAACTGCAGTTGGCAGCCTGGCTGAGGCCCCCAGCTTCCCAAATTGAGCATCAGTGACATCTATGACTCAGGGGTCCCCTAGCCTGCCAATGTGCCACTGTTTGAACTGAACCCTTTAGGAGACAGACTCCAGAGTTTGCTAGAAGCATCAAATGAAGAAATGGTGGGATCCCAGGTCATGGGTGAGCTTCCTAACCCACCCCTCGAAGGCCAGTCCTGGGGACAAGCCACCCAATAAACGGCCACACCCCAGTGGTGGGGACCAGGAGATGGGCCCCCAGACCTGACGCAGGAAGAGCCCCGACTGAGCGGAGGCAGGAGTGGAAGGGATTCCCTCCATATTGTGGGCGAGGGCCAGCAAGCAGAGAATGGGAGCTGGAGGGGTCAGGTCTCTGAGCGACTGTCCTCGTTGGGAGGAGGAAGGCAAAGGGCAGAGGGACAGTGGAATCCATCTTGCCAGCGCTGCCCTGGGACCAGACGGCCCCTCCTGGACACTCGAGGACAGGTTGGTACATCCCCCAACACTTTCAGAGCTGCTAGACGAGGGGGCCAGCCAAGGGCTGCTCCTCCATCCATCGAGGCATCCAGCTTTCTGTCTTCAAAATCGTAGGCTTATTTCAGATATCTCTGCCCTGGGTGCCACAGCGTTCCTGAGAACACGGGGAAGCACCAGCCACTCTGCTGCGTGCGAGGAGCTTTCCCACGTGAAATCCAAAAGGCTGCACGGCTCAGGGAGCTCCCAGTGGAGCAGAGATTATGACAAGGACCATGGGCCAGAGACCCCTGGCATCTCTGAGCTAACAAATGTCACTGCTGAGGCTTCCGACCATCTAAGCCACTGGCGTAGAAAGCTCACCCTCACCATCCCCCAAGCCAGGCAATGTGGGTTCCTCCTGGGGCCGTGCCTTACCGCCCTCTGGGTGCTGGGCCGCCTCCGCTGGGCGCTCTGCTCCACCTGTGCACCTGGCTCTGGCCTCATGGCCATCTATCTTTCCTGAGACCCCTG